CTCCCTGCGACGTCATGGGATCAGCCGCAGCAGGAAGCGCGACAGGACCAGGAAGCGATGGGGATGGCACCGCTCGAGACCCCCGTGTGATAAGGTCCTAGGTCTATTCTTCCGAAAATGTGATATGAGCAGTAAAAGTAGCACATAAGAGTCAGTTCTATGAAGATGAGATGTACTTTTGCCCTCTTGAATTTTAAAATGAGTGAAAGGTATACTGATATAATAAAGAAATAATTCCAAAGTGAATTCTGAATCTCTAAAAAGTGCACATTTATGGTCAAATTGTACAGAGGTGTCTATTCTACAAAAAGTAGCAAAGACTTTGATGGCACTTGTGAAGATTATTTGGTATTTTTTAAGGTACCAGAAGAATCTGTAATATTTATAAAGAGTTTTCCAACTAAAAATATACTTTTTAAATTTAGTTTATTTCCTGTCCCCTAAGCAATGGCAGCAAGCTGCTCATAAATTCTCCTTGCAGCAGATTTCAGTCCAATTTTCCCAAACACATTTTTTTCCTGTAAACACACATAGCAAATGAACAGCCCACCAAGTTCCATGGGGCGTACTTCCATACACAGTTTACCCACCATATCCATGGATTCTGCATCCAAAGATTCAACAGTCCATTGCTTGAAAATCTTTTTTAAAAAATCCAAAAAGCAAACCTTGATTGTGTCATTTTATATAAAAGGCACCATTATACTATGCCATTCTATACTATGAGACTTGAGCATCCACTGATTTTGGTATCCACAGGGGTTCTAGATCCAGTGGATACTAAGTGTATACTAAGCACCCAATGTAAATGTGGCTGATCCAAGTTTTCAGTTTCACAGAAACCTTTGTCTAAGCTGAATTTCTTTACCATCATGTAGCCTACTGTGGGTTGCTTTAACTTAACAAAACAATCCACAATGTTATGTTGTATTGACTCTGATTTTCTATTGCATATCACTGATGCTCTACTGAACTCAATATTCAAATTACATTGAGATTTCATTGGTATCCATGGATGTTGCAGGCTGCCTCATTAAGAAACAGTACAAATACTTTATATTTGTGCTTAAGAATTACATCTTGCTGTTGGCTTGCTCTTAGGTCTACTAGAGCTGATCATTAAACAGAATCTGGAAACATTTATAAAGGAATGCCATAATTTCAAAAAGTCAACATGGGTTTCTCAAAAACAAATCAATTTTTGATAAAATTACCGGCTTGATAGATGAAGGAAATGTTGTGGATGTAGTATATCTTGATTTAAGTAAGGTCTCCAACAAGTTCCCCCACAATATTCTTGCAAATGAGCTAGTAAAAGACTGGCTAGGCAATGCTACTGTTAGACGGATTTGTAACTGGTTGACTGGCCAAACCGAAAGGGTGCTTACCAATGGCCCCTTTTCATCTTAGAGAGAAGTGACCATTGGGGTGCCACAATTTATCAATGACTTGGATGAAGGAATAGAGGGCATGCTTATCAAATTTGCAGAAGACACCAAATTAAGGGTAGCTAAAAAAAAAGACATTCTACTTCAACATTAGGAAGAACCTCACGACAGTAACAGCTCTTCGACAGTGGAATACGCTCCCTCGGAGTATGGTGGAGTCTCTTTCTTTGGAGATTTTTAAACAGAGGCTGGATGGCTATTTGTCGAGAGTCCTGCCTGGTAGGGGGTTAGACTGGATGGCCCTTGTTGTGTCTCCCATCCCTATTATTGTATGATTCTATATTCAGTATGGCTTGTTTGGGTGTTGTGTGCCTTCAAGTCATTTCTGACTTAGGACAACCCTAAAGTGATCTGGCTTTCTTGGCAAGATTTGTTCAGAAGAGGTTTGCCATTGCCTTCCCTAAGGTTGAGAGCATGTGACCTGCCCAAGATCATACAGAAAAAAATCCCACAAGAAGACAATGAGAGATTACTCTTTATTTTTTATTTAAAAAAGAGACAACGTTTATTTGAAGGCTTGTTTCTTCTTCTTTCAGATATGTACATTTCTTATTTGTGGTGCACAAGCATTATGCCAACAGGAAAAGAAAAACATCACAAAATCACTTCCAAAGTCTGGACAGTTCTGAGAACAGTATCCTTAGTTCAAGTCTATGTCAGCGTCAACAGGAACAGACAATAGTAGTGTTTGTTCCTTAACAACAATGTACCCAGCAGAATGCAAGAGGACCTGACACATCATAAATTGCAGGAGAAGTAGAGGGAGAAGGATACAGAAATTTCTAGGACAACATCATTTACATAACATAACAAAGTGAGTATTTATAATGAGCATACTTCAGATGAAAACTAAGATTGACAAACTGTATTTCAAACCAAACCTGGGAAGAAGATGCCCTCAAATTAGAGTCCAATCACAGTGCATTTTAATATTCTGGCTATCAAATGCTATCATTTAATTCAATCCCTATCCCCACACATAATCCCGATAACACTTTAATAGTATATAAAATAATTTAATCCGGATTTTGCAACCTGTTTTCCATCTGCTGCACTTCTTGACTGCTTGAATTATACAAAAGTAACACAAACTTTGACATATTCCTGGATGAAAGGAGCATTCAGACAGCTTTTCCCAGCATGAGCAGGATTAATCACAGTTAATCATTTTCAATACTATGTGATGAAACATACAGCTTCACAGAAATCCCATTAGGCAAAGCTGGGACACCCTAAAGCCTTCAAGTGAATCCAGATAGCCAGTTTTTATTTTATTTTATTTATGAGATTGATATTCTGCCCTTCTCCCAAAATGGGATTCGAGGCAGCTTTGGCATTCTTTTTTGATTTAGGTGCCTTCTTTTTTACCTAAATATTGTGGGATAGGTGTGGTGAAGAGGAAACTATACATCACAGAGGTCACTAAAATAACATGTCAGACTAAAAATTCATAAAATTAATTCAAGATTCTTGCTATATTGCAACTGTTATCAAAGTGAGATAATAAAACCTAGGAAATACACCAGTGATTTGTGCCACTAGGGAAAACATAGGGCCTTTGCAGACTGCCAGAAATACTACAAATTGAATCCACTTTAACTGCCCTGGCTCAGTGCTAGGGAATCATGGGAACTGCAGTTTATTGTGGCACCAGAGCTCTCTGACAGAGAAGGCTCAATGTCTCAGAAAAAAAATACAATTCCCATGATTCCCTAGCACTGAGCCAGGGCAGTTAAGGTGGACTCAACTTGCACTATTTCTAGCAGTCTGCAAAGGCCCATAATCATTATTATGCAATCCACATTCCTGTCATATTAACAATAGTTCACTAGTTTCTGTTTAGTTCTCAAAGACCAAAAAACCACCACTTCTGTGGAAAGCAACAAAAAATGAAGAATGGAGATATTATTTTTTGCAACTCTGCATGTAGTTAGAGAAAATACCAAGAAAGTTCAGTTTGATTTGATATGGGAAAATTAATAATAGAAAACATGGAAACTCACTCATTTTCCATTTAGTTTTCTATGTGGAAGATGGCCTTCATTAACAAAATAAATGTGCCTTTAAATATTGCAGTACTATAAATCAGCAAGTTGAAGTTTCTGTTTGAATATTTGTCTGCATTTTTGTTGTTGCTATGTTCCTTTAAATTGATTCAGACTTATGGTGCGCCTCTCACGGAGTTTTTTTCCCCTTTTAGATGAGGTTTGCCATTAGTCCTCTGAGCAAGTGTGACTTTCCCAAGCCCACCCAGTGGGTTTCCATGGCTGTGTGAGCACTCAAACCCTGGCATTGTGGAGTCTTAGTCCAACACTCAAAACACTGCATGATGATTTTGGCTCTTGTTTTGCTCTTTAGAGAATTTCAAAAGGAGTTATCCATGCAAAAACAATAGTCATGTAGCATCTTAAAGACTAGCTAGTTTTAACTGGCTTAAC